AGTTGATATCTAAAAGATGCTTGTGTTTCTGATTGACAATATCCATGTCAGTTTTTGGAGATGAGGTCTTCCAACAATCTGTCGGAATTCCAATTGCGCCCCCTTATTAGCAGTCAATATGATCAATTTTTAAACCGAGGCAGCCTACTGACAGATAAGTTGATGTTTAAGGATTTCAACAACCTAGTTTTAAGTTAGCATATCGTAAATTCTATCGTCGTTAAAACGACCTTGTTAGCGAATATAACCTAACATTGGGCCGTATTATGACTGACATATTTCAAACCAATTCTTTAGGCCTTTGTTTAAAACAAAACTTGTTTTTTTTAAATTAAATTTGACTACGGAATATTCCATCTACCTGATCAATACATAGGGCTCACGGCGGGTGTTTATTCCTCCTAGGCGCCTGATCCCACCTCTGGGATTTCCGGGGATCCATGTTCAATGCTCTGTTCACAGATTTTTATTGTTTGTAGTTTTTTTGAGTTTTTTGTAACGAATGAGGAGTTCTCAAGTGTCCTTTCATTGTAGGTATTGTCGGATTTGTTATGCATGATAAGCTTGTCCTCAACAAAATAAAATTAAGCCATTGGATCTTGTATCAAATTAATCATTTCCTCCACTGAGACATTAACATCAAGAAAATGTCTGTAATCTACTAGATGATGTCATAGTCTGGTAAAATTCTCGAATTCATAACCGATGTCACTAAGTTACATCAACAAAACCTCGATATAATGCCTACTGTCTCAAATAGGTTCTGCCAGCTAGTCACATATCACATCTCCCCGTTGGTGGCCTAACAAATACTTTGGTAGCTGAATGATTGTGGCAAAAGGCTAGCGTCCGGTGCCTTTAAAGACTAGGGAGAAAACCATCGGTCCTCCGGGTTTAGGGGTTACTGGAATGCGAAAAGCTAGAAGCCTTACCATGTAAAAACTCATCTGCAACAGAATCCAGAGTAATATAAAGGAAACCAGGTGTTCGATTTGGGACACCTCACCTGGAGGACGTAAGACGCGGACTGGTGAAAACAGTTTGTAAAACAAGTCAGATGAAAGATGTTCTGTCGAAGAAAGCAATGACAAGGAGAGCTAGAGACCTGTAACGTGCCAACCATGTTTGAAACTGGAAAGGGCAGTCCAGGGAGATAAAGACATGAAGAGGCACAACATCCATTTCTCCGGAGTATGTGAGATCATATGTAATGGAACTGGGATGTCTATGGTGATTAATGGAGAAAAGATCATCTACTCTGGACATACAGATGAAAACCAAGAACATAGCGAGAGAGAGAGAGAGAGAGAGATGCCATTATGATGTCCGCAGAACCAAATAATGGGTACTAATCTCTCCTTGAATAATGACAGCAAGATTTCACCCAAAGGACGGAAAGTAACTGTGATCCAGTGCTACTCATCAACAAACATTGAAGACGAAGAAGCAGCAGTGGACTATTACACAGACTTCAGGCAACAGTGGACAAGGCACCAAGACGTGACATAAAAATCTTGATGGGCGACATGGATGCCAAGATAGGTGCAGACAACTCAAGGAAAAAACTACATGTAAATGTGGGTACCCAGGCGCTTGAAGCCATGAATAAAAAAAAAGAATTGTTCAGACTTTTATGGTGATAGGAGAAAGTGTCTACCAGCACAAAAACATCCACAAAGAGACTTGAGTTTCCCCTGATGGAAAAACCAGGAACCAGATAAACTCCATTATTATCTCTAGGAAGTGGAGACGCAGCTTCCTCGACACACAATCAAGAGGAGAAATTAATGTATCTTCAGACTACCACGTAATACTAAGCACCATCAAAGTCAAGCTGAAAGCCTTCAAGAAATCCTGTCATTAACCCAAATAAGGTTCAACACCCAGAGTTAAGGAGAAAAGACACTAGGGAGACGTTTGCATGCATCATAATGAAAACAGATTTGAAGCCCTTAATAATGTCTGTCAAGAAACACCCTGGAAGAACACTTGATCTCCATCAAAGACAACTGGAGATAAAAATGTGAAGAGATCACTGGGAAAGGAGAGAAATAAGACTGAAAATAGTTTTCTTATGGCACATGAAAGCAGGTAGAGGAAAGGAAACTTCCCAAGCAGCAGATCATCAACTTTGAGGATGAGCAAAAGAAAAATTGAATGACAGATATACTGTCCTTAATAACAAAGTCAAGTGCAAGGAGAGTTAAGAGACTCTTTTTCAATACACTTGAAAGAGAAAGTGGCACTTGCATGAGAAAGTGGCAGAGAAAAGAGACCTGAGCACCTATACAGAGTTACTAGGACCCTGGCTGGGAAGAGAACCACAGCCATAGACGAAGCAGGAAACTCCATCACAAAGGAAGAAGACCAGGGAAAACGTTCGGCCGACTAGTTCCTTGTCTAAATTCCTGAATAGGAATTATCGTTGAAAATTAAAGTTAAGGTCATTTTCGAAAGGACCGCCATGATTTTAAAATGGCTCTATTTATATATATTCTTTATATTGTATATCTGGTATTTTCAATTTTTTGCAGCATTTTTAAACTTCTTTGAAATATTTAATCAAAATGTAGTCTAGCATACAATGAAAATGTTATCTAAAGTAAATGTCCAGTAGACATGCCCTAAAATACAGGTTATTGTTTTAAATTCATAGTACGCAAAAAATACTGAAACATTTGAAGTTACCCCAAAATATAATCCCCACTGCATTCAAGTGCTTCTCGGTATGAAGCTGCTATTGACGCCAAAAGATTCGCAGTGTATGGCTATCTTTTTCATAACCCCATTGAAAGGTGGAGGTATCGTTTGCGACTTACATGACGACCGTTTCCACGTGTGTGCTGCTTCCAATACACGTTCAAAAAGAGAGGCCCTTGTGGAAGACTTTTACTATAAGTACTGAAGTCTTAAGACATAGCGTTCATCACTTACCTGCATTAATCATCGTTCCTTGTAGAATATAGGGTTGTTACAGTTGTCCTCCTTCTGACATATTTTGAGCCGTTTCAAATTTTTGCATACATTAAGAGCTTCCTTCTTTAGTAATTGCCGATTAGTCCTTTCTTTCGTCATTATGGATTCTCTCGGATTCCCATGAAACATGGAGATAAAGAACAATAATCAAGGTCAAATGTCTATTGAAACAATACAAAACGTGAGCAGAGCATCACAGACCCCTAAAAAACATCAGAGGTGAGATCAGATGCCATGGAGAAGTAAGCATTCCCTGTCGACCGGTCACACCCGCCGTGTTCCTTGTCATGATCCGTAGACAATTCAGTATTTAGATATTGACCAAACAATTAGTATGAAAAACGTCAGTCAGCGTTCGACTTAATGATAGATTGTATTTGCTAACAAGGTTATTGTATCGACCATAGAAATTGTGAAATTATGACTTTAAACGAGACTGTTGATATCCTTGTTTCATCAACTTGTTTCTCAAAAGCTTGCCTTGTTTTAGAAATTGTTCGTACGTGGAGTATGCTCTTGCGTATCGAATCAACTGGGAGATATAAACCCCATATACAGGTGTTATAGTATATTGCTACACAAGGGAAGCTGACGATAGAAAAGTTGAACTCATCACGTTTATCATAAAGTTTTGTTGTTAGGTTACCATTAACGTTTTTTTCTAGTAAAATATCCAAATATGAAACAGATATGTCAGACTCGGTGGTATCTTTAATTTCAAGTGCACTGGGATATATCAAGTCGACATGTGGAAGTAACTATTGTTAATTGATAATACGTCGATTATATATCTTAATGTCGAGTTGAAGGCCACAGCAACTGTTTTCTCCTCATATTCTGCGCCATAAGTCTGGTAACAAGGGGGCGCAATTGGTACCCATGGGAATTCCAACAGATTGTTGAAAGACCTGATCTCCGAAGACTACAAAGATATTGTCCATCAGAAACTCGAGCATCTTTTTATTATCAACTTCAGAGTACTTGTGCGTACAATCAGAATGCTTTTTAACAAAATAATTTTGCAAATGACCAATGACGAGGTAAGTATATTTACGAGTTCCATTTTTATTGGGAAAAAAACAGCTGTCTACGATGTCAAAGAGCCTGGACTTTATCGTGGGGAATCATAATGAGATCAATCATTTTCTGGTTTTTCGTAATTCCATCTGGCGACTCCCATGTTTTTTTTTCAATAGATGCATGTATGTGTATGTTGGGACATTGGGGTCTCTGATGACGCTTATCTTACACGTGCATTTATCTTACAAAATTCAGTCAGTTCTTCAGTTGCATTCATTTGTTTATGTCCCCAGATTCACTCTACCTTCCCATTACCTTATCTATTGTTTTGATGTCTTGACCAATCTTTCCATTCATATTACATCTTTCTTTTGTAATACCATCCGATTGTTGTAGTGCATGTAATTTGCTCATTTCTCAATCAACAATTTGTAACAGATAAATTTCAGAATTGAGGTGTCTTTAAGAACGTCATTTTGCTTTATTTTTAAAGCATGGGGATCAAGGTTTCTTGATCAAAGTTTGGTTATACCACAATAAATCATACAAAAGCCAAACATTGATGTGACAGTAAATAGATTGTGTGCGACACCAGTCAGTGTTGCCCCTTTCTTTAAGCGGCAGCCATCTTGATAATAACAGAAATTGCGATTGCCAACAATGTTTTTGTTTGTTTGTTTAACGTACCTTCGAGAGTTTTTCACTCATACTGAGACGCCACCACTTGCCGGTGGAGAGCTGCAAATTTAGACCCGTACTCAGCGGTCTTTGTGTAGTGAGGAATCTTTTTCGTGCCAGCACCTACTGCGACACGGGACCTCGGTTTATACGCTCCCGCAGTTAGATTCGAAACCGCAATGTAAGGATCAACTCCTTACTCCGCAACGATGTTTTAGAAACAGTATTATGACAGATATTTCTGCCAAATTTCATTCTTGTCTCAACAAAAATATTTACTAGGTAAAATTTGATGCAACAGCTACACAAATTGTTTACAACATACAAAGAGCTAAAAATATGCTTTAATAACTTATGTCTATATATTTACATTACTGAGATACAGAAATTAGTACAAATGATATCATATTTGGGTATATTTTTAATTTGGATATCTTTAGAACAGAATGTTTGTCATAGTTAAACCTTGCAACATATACCCATTCCCTGGCTGAAAACATGCAAAGTTGTCAGTAATAATAAAATATCTAATATGACACATTGGAATGTTTCTGGAATTTGAGATACATCATATAAATACAAAAAATATGAACAATATCATCTTCTACAGATTAATTAAATACTTTGTGAATGAGAGAGAGGGGATCAGTTCAGTTGTAAATACAGTGTACTTAAAATTGTACAGGATTTTATTTTTGGTGGCAATTGTTTACAACAATTTCTGTATCTGAGACTTGTTCCTTGCTTTGAGGGACTAGTTAGTGCTATAAATTGACACCAACTCCCCTCTGAAAAGTTGACTATATGGAAATAATTCCCTTGACTAAATCTGGCAATGAGGACGGACTTTAGCCATATCTCTACCAAGGAAGGCTGAAAACATTGTACATGTACATAGTAGCCTGCACCCTTCAATGAATCATAAATAAGATAATGGAGGACCATAAACTGCAACAATTTTTTTTTTTGAGTTTCCTTCATATGGTTGCTTGAGTATCTCTGTAGGGTCTGTAAAGGAGGTTTTCAGAAACTATAAACAATTCTATAATTGGCTGTAAAGTAATAAATTAGTGAGCTCATTTTACCTTTAAAGGCTAATAGTATCAAACAAACTAAAATAGGATATTTAGACAATATGCAATATCAAAGACAAAAATTCTGAAACTACCAGAATAGTCAGTCTGTGATAAGAAAAGGTTTCGAGCAATACATCATATTCAGGTAATATATAATAATAGTATCATTTGACTCATAGCAAGTGAAAAAAAGTTGCTCCAATTGCACTTTGTGGATATTTAGAGGGCAAAGTCCCTATGGAATGATTCTCAAGGCTAAAAGAAAAGCTTTGGTGCAAGGTTATATACATAATGTACAATGTATTTTCTAAAAAATTCTATCAGAAAATGGGTCAAATTTGCCCGTAACAATTTCATTTATGTGAATCATAGAATAAAAACACAGTTATATGGCTACCTAATCAAATGATGGATGTTATGATTTCAGTAAACTGTGGTTCATTTACAGACAAATCACAACTTTTTTTAAGGAGACTTCCTTAACAGTAGTTAAAAAAGAGCAAACATAAACCAACATTATATCAACCAAGACTGTAGGATTAAGATACCTTACATAAAACTTTACATAAATCCTTTGAAATTCACAATAATTTATTAACCTCAAACATACACACAAAAACTTTTATCTTTTTAAGTTTGACTTTAGTTTACAATCAATGATATAATTATGCAATGTGGAATGCCACAAAATATATAGATATGTCTTTTAATATATATGTTATTGGACATGATGTTCGTAATGAATGAAGAAGAGTTCTCCAGTCCAGCTGAAGTTATGTCCCCCCATTGTAGGCATAGTCTGCTTTGTTATGCATGATAAGCCTGTCCTCGACAAAATAAAAGCTGTCAGATCTGGTCTCGAATGGATGAGCAATCATATCCTCCACTGAAACAACAATCAATAATAAAATAGGCATTATCATCAAGGAAATGTCAGTGTATTCTATTCTCCTCATAAAAGTTTACGGAGGAATAACTCCCTGCTGTAACATTTCAAAGGAAAGAATACCAATTACAACTGCTTACCAACAACTTCAATTTCGGCATGCTTATTCCACCTGTTTTATTGTTTAATTATTAAAGTATCTACCAACACTTTACCTACATTTTAGAAACAGCCTTGAAGAAAAAGAATAAAGAAGAACTGGTTACAGGACTGTGCCTGCCTTTATCAAAAGAATCATGCACCAAATAAGACTGTAGTCTGTTCACACTTCACTGGTCTCTGAGTTTAAATGTACAGCTAATTTTGATTTGTTTACCTTAGTTTAAATGTACAGCTAATTTTGCTTTGTTTTCCAGTAATTATTAATTTATAGTCAATTTATTTAATATTGAACACATTAAGTACATCTTTAATTACTCTAGCAAGTAAATGTAATTACAGGGGTTTGAAAACACTGACATACAGGTCTAGCTCATTCAGTGATGCTCTAATGGGTCCTTAGGACTGGGCTTCACAGAAACAATGAGTCCAAAATTTAAGCAAAGAGTTCTTGTTTGATCAATTGTAAATACTTATTTTATTTTACATCTTGAAAGTCCTTGTTAGATCATTTTGTAAATATTTATTTTACTTTACATCTCGAAAGTTTAAAAGAATTCAGGAGAAATAAATTTTATGGTTAAGACTATAATCAAATGACAGTAGTCTAACCACAATAACTCATGAAATGACACCATATTGTTTAAAAAGGATATTAAACCTTTACTTAACAATTCTGTGGAATTTTCCTTTTTATTGTTTTGCTTTTTTTGTCATTTTTTTCAGAAGTGTTTAATTTACCCATTCAAGGTAAACTTTTGAGATGTAAATATCAATTTACAAGAAAAAACAACTTTCAGAATAGTTTTTTTGTATTTTTACTTAAGTTTAAAAATATGCTTGGAAAAAAAGTATTTACTCTCAGCTCTTATTTTCCTCATAATTCTAATATAATTCAAGTGAGTAATTGGTCACGATTTGTATGAATCTGATTCTACACTATGTGAAGATGTTTTATATTAATATGACTAATTGTGGGCCTGCTGTTCTTAAAAAAAGATTTATGATATTGCCTATATATTCCTATAAAAACTTTCACACCTATTGTGGCCCAATCCTAGACCCAGGGCCAAAATTGAACTAATCTGAATCCAAAGTACATAATCACGTTCAATTTCTTAATTACCTCCTCTTGAAAGAAGGCGTGGCTCTTCATTTGAACAAACCCTAATCCCCTTCACCCAAGAATGCTTAGTGGCAGGCAAGTTTGATTAGAAATCAGCAAGTGGTTCTGGGAATGAATTTGAAAATGTGAGAAGTTTACAGACACAGGATGAATAGACAGACACTGGATACTCTTCAATCAGAAAATGTTTGGGTCAGGTGAACTAAAAAGTGTTACTTTTTGAACATATAAGTACTTATTTTTACCTTCATCTGGAGTAAGCACAGGAAATTCATAGATATGCTCAACTGTATTTCTGCTATGTGGAATGCAAAATCCGAATTCAAAGTCAAAACTTTTCAGTAGTTTATCTCGGAAAAAATGTCGCTCAATCATTCTGAATTTATTCACTGGTTTGTCTCCAACAACAAATTCAACTCTGAAAATAAATATCAAATCATAAAATCATGCAAGCAAATGAAGCAATTAATACATTTTAGATGTTTTTGTTTAATTATTATTCCCACAGACCTAATGTTATTAAATTCATGGAATTAATGTCAACCAAAAATGAAAAAATGCTGAAAAAACTATGTATGTTTATCTTAAAAATTTATGATGCTGTCTGTCCTCCTTGATATATTTTCCCCTCTCTTATTTATTTATTTTCTTTTTCAATCACCTGTCATGTTTTTTGTTTTGTATATGTACATGTACCTCTGACCAGATTGTATATAATGTATATATGTTATTTATGAACCCCATGTACCAATATTTTGTTTTGGGTGAATAAATTAAACTTGAACTTGTTTTGAACTTGTCACAAAATAAACACTCCTCAAATTAACATTGTCATAATCATCAAACAGGTTGCACCTTGATAAAAATCTGCTATACTTCCCAGCTCTATTTTTTCATTGCAAAATCTGTCTCATTGGCTATCAGATAGTAATCTGTCTTGGACAACTTTATCATTGCCTACAGTTACAGTTGAACTTTGTTATCTCAAACTTCAATATCTTGAATACGATGGATATGTCAAAGTGTGTTAAAAGTCTCAACCAATTTTCTCTATGTATTTTAACCTGGATATCTCGAATCATTGCATACTTCGAAGTTTTATTCTTGGTTTCATCAGCTTTGACAATGAGGTTTGACTGTACGTTGGAGATTGTTTATTGTTTACTGTTGACAATCCTTGTTTATAACAGTCACACACTCACCACAAATTAATTTTCATTTCTATTTCCCCCTCATGTCTTCCTGAATGATCTATGATTTTCAAGAATTATAATTTTTTGACAGAGAAGATAAGATTACCAAGGCAAAAGATTGATAAATGTTCAACAACAAAAACAAAAACCAAGAATGAAATTGGGGGGGGGGGGGGGGGGGGAGGGGGGGGGGGGCAAATTTGCACCCTAATTAATGCACCTTACATCTCAACATTAACTTACGTTGCTCCAACTGTTTTAAGCTTTAAAAACTGTGGTGTAAACTGGTACCGTACAAATCTACCAGCATGAGGGTCTATATCTTCAGGTTCTGTATCTGACTCCCCATCCTCTGAAAGTAAACACAAAATACTAGCTGTAAGATCAAAATTTCATTATGCAATCATGATAGCATTTTCCTTACAATCACTTTCGGTTTTACATAAAAAGATATTTTCTAATATCAGATTGAAGCAAGCTTGATTTTTTTTTTTTTTTTTTTTTGATTTTTTTAAAGTTTTTTAAAAAAGACCATAAATATTTAGCATTCTGTGTATTTATTCCATTTTTTTTAGTGCAAATAAATAATATTTACACAAATGAGGATATCTGATATAGTAAAAAAGCTAAAAATACAAAAGTTCCTAAGACCATACTGTCAATTAAGCTAAAGAAAATCTCAAGAAGCCAATTTCAACAACAATTTTGTAAAAATCTAACAATGTAAAGGCTATGAAACCAGCTTTTCTGGAGTTTAAAGCCTACAACTAACATAAAATACACAGACTTTGATCAAAATTAAAGAAAACAAGATATGTTTGTGAAACACTATGCCCCCGATGGTAACACAATTCTGGAGTGGGACGTAGACTACAGTGCAATAGTTATGGCCAATGTTAAAGTTTTTCAAATATAGGTCAAAGGTCACAGTTGAGGTAACATGATCAAAAATTTCTGTACCAATGGAAAGGCCTCATCATAATGAACACTCATGTCAAATATAAAAGCCTTACCCTTGACAGCGCAATAGTTATGGGCTAGGTTAAAGTTGACAACAGACAGATAGACAAACAGACAGACAGGACAAAAACAATATACCCCCGGGATCTTTCAATCCAGGGGCATAAAAATTAGTATGTCAAACCTGGTGGTGGTGGTTTTGCCACTTCAAACAAAACTGCCCCTGATTCCATGTCCCTCAGCTTGAACCTTGTGAAGTCGATGCCATAAATGTTTGCGTCAGGTGAACATAGATACTCTGTAAAGAATTTAACCCAATATAATCTTTGAAACAGCAATCCAAGAAATAACTTTTCTTTTTGCCTTAACTAAAATCAATACTAGCCATGCCTTGATGTTATTAGTCTAGTCCGACAACAGAAATAAAAGTAAACCCTGTTAAAACGGGTCTCTAGCACCATCATGCACTAGCTGCAACAGGTCATCGTGGCTTATTTAGTATAAATAATAATTTAAGTTCTATTGTTATATTTTTTTCCAAATATTTTTTTTTTTAAATTTTTATTAAATTTTATTGTGAAGCAATTCTTGCAATCTGCAAGATAAGAATTATATAATTTAATTCCAGAGATATTATTTGAAATTTAATCAGACAAGCAAAAACATTAATTTTCAAGTGGTCTTTTGAAGTTTCAAACCTTTGGTTTGAAAACTAAGTATTACAAGTAGTAAATATGGCTTAGATTACTCCCTGACATATATAGTATATATGTACCTTTTACAACTTTCCTGACACTGTTACTTTGACCATAAAATAGTAAAAATACCCACCCACCCCTCTCTCTCTCTCTTAATTCTTTTGGCAAATATAATCTAAAAACTATATCAATGCAGTTTTACCAGAATCTAGATTTAATCACAAAACAAGAAACTGTTCTGATCCAGTAATATAGAGACATGATGCCAAACTTTCCAACACTTTACACAATGAATTTTTGTACTCATATAATTTCTGCTTTAAAATTGTCATATTTTGTTCATGTACTTCAATTTTTGAGTATTTTATTCCAAATTTTCCAACTTCTATTGACTCTGTCCATTTTCAGAGTCCAACTCTTATGGTATACATAACAAAGCATGGTTGTCTCTAAGACCTGGGGGTCGGGGAATTTCCCCACCTATTATGACATAATCCCCAGGTTATTCTGGTATTCCCCCTCAACCTCCTCTTAGAAGAGGAACCCCAGACCCCCTTCTACTTTTTTGACGTCCCCTGCTATTTCAAATCTTAGGGACAACCCTGCAAAGAAAAAAAGGACACAAAGAAAAAGTTCAGAGGTTACACATTTAAGATACATGTAAATTGCAGTGACTTTACTGCTATGGTTATTAATGACAAAATTAAAGCACTGTCAGAAAAATAAAATATACATATGTATACGTAGATATATATGTATAATAAATTTATCTCTATATTGCCTTTTTATACAGTAACACACATTTATTAGCATTAACTTTGAAACTGGAGATGCTTCAAAATGATATAAATATCCGGCTGTAAGTTTGAATTATCGATTTATTGATAACTCATCAGTGGATATGAGTCAGATGACAAAAGACAATCCCTGAATAGGGTAAATTTGGTAGCGTTGTAATCCATAAAATAGATAAGAATTCAAAGATATAAATATAATCAATGCTACTTAATATACTAACTTTCTGTTATTTTATTTAGTCGGAGGACTTCCTCTGGGGTTACAGTGTCTTTCTTCAGTAATTCCTCCTCCGTGATAGAGTCAATGGTTTTTTCCCTTGATTTTACCTGGCGTGTTAAAAAACCACCACTTTTCTTTTTACCAGTGGTAGTACTCATTTTGGTTATGCAAATATCATACTTCAAAACACATTCATTCTAGAAAACTGTTTCAAACAATCTACAGCAGTAAGAAACTCGTATACACAATAGCAGAATCTTTAGCGTCGTTTATTGAACAAGATGGCGACGATGGCAACGGGAACTCTGGGAAGCGGCAGGTGTCATGTAATAAAAGTGTCAAGTATTTTAGCACCCGAATCGAACACACATTAATTTTGGTTTTTGGTCCCATAAGGGTAATATTTTCACTTTGTCGCACACACACCACACCAATATCAAAGGTAAACATTTGCAATGATAATTCAGTACTTCAGTTTAAAGCTATTTTACGTCTATCATGATTACAGATTTCAAAACTATATCGAATTTGTTTTTGTTTTGCTTTTTTTAAGGGGGGAGGGGGGGGGTCAAACAGAAATTCCTGTAAATGGACATTATTATTAAGGGGACGCTGTCGCATACGTATATTGTTTTTAGCATAATAAATATATTCGGAAATTCCAGATGTTCATGGGGGATGAGGCCCATTGGGTCGAAGGGGAGAGTATGGGAGGGGGTCCCCTCCCATGACCCCCCCCCCCATGGATGGCAGGGGCCTCACCCGAGAATTTTTTTTAATAATAAAAAATGGCTCTAATTGGTGCATTTTCCAGCATTTTTTATTGAATTAGTTATTTTCTTCTTTCAAAATGGCCACTTTTTAAATAAGTTGTTTTCAAGACCGATCCAGATCTACCTAAATTTAGAAGAAAAAAAAAATGAAAACATCGTTTATTTATTTTGGCTTTTTTTTGGGGGGGGGGGGTGTTTTACAGAAATGCACACTTTATTTGAATTTTTATTTATTTATTTATTTATTTATTTATTTATTTATTTATTTATTTATTTATTTATTTATTTATTTATTTATTTACTTACTTACTTATTTTTTGTCCTACCGGCTCGACTGATTGGGAAAAAGTCATCAATCAATAAAAAAAATGGCCAATTCTTGCTTGACACCTGGGCCTCTACTGGACATTAAACATATCATATCAGTTTAACCACGATTCATTATACAGAGTTGTAACAGTTAACTATTAATTGGGTTTTATTAAGGGGACGACCACTTGATTCTGAAAGGGGGGGGGGGGCTGGCAGATTTTGGAAATAAATAATCTGTCCTCGAAAATGTTGAAAATAAATTATCCTCGATTGACAAGAAATGAAGAAAACACATAATATGTCCTTGAAAATGGTGCTACTACCCCCCCCCCCCAAAAAAAAATAAAAAACCACGAAAAAGTTTTGGTGTTTGCTTGCCTTTTCCTCCTTTATTTTGTTTGCTTGTGCCTTTTTTTTCCAGTGAAGAAGATCGATAACCTTTCCTTGATCATCTTGACTGGCGTGAAAATAAATAATCTGACTCGAAAAAATTGCCCCCCCCCCTCTTCCCCAGAATCAAATGGTCATCCCCAAACATCATTCAACTGCTGTCTTGGAAAAGAAGTAGGCCAGAAAGATACATGATTTTTTTTATCCATTTGTTTCTGTCTTAAGTTTCTGTTTTGTACACGTACGTGTACACTGTGTGAAAATAAAAGACACCACAGTCTGTCTCATCCGTTTCATATTTGGATGTTTTCTTTGACTATAGAAGATAAGGGCCAACGAATATGACAAACGAGATGACTTCAGCTTTTCCAGCTTCAACTTTCCTTATTTTTGTAGTAATATTCCGCTACCACCTGCATATAGTATTTGTCTCCCAACTTATTCTATACTCAAGAGCATGTTCTGATTTGACGATCAATTTTTAAACGGAGATAGCTACTGACAGATAAGTTAATGTTACAGGGATTTCCACAACCTCGTTTAAAGTCAGCATTTCGTAAATTTTAGGGTCATTATAATGATCTTGTTAGCAAATATAACCTATCATTGGTTCGTATTTTGGCTGACATGTTTCACATCAATCGTTAGACCTGTGGTTTTATACTAAATTTGACTTCCGAATGATCCGTCAACCTGATCAATACATATGGCTCACAGCAGGTGTGACTGGTCAAACAGGGGATGCTTACTCCTCCTAGACACCTGATCCCACCGCTGGAATTCTCGGAGTTCCTTTTTTTATGCCCAGTTCACAGATTTGTATTGTTTGTAGATTTCTTTTTTTAATTTTAGATTGATCACTGTTCGTTTCTTCACCCATATGATACAATTACAAATGAGATATTTTTTTATTGCTAAATTTTATTAAAGAGAATTTAGGTTGAATTCAAGTAATTAAATATTAATGTAAATATACCTTAAAAATTTCTTCACCAGAGAGCACAGCACACTACCCTCTTTAAAATCAAACAACCTTTAATAACAATTGTATCTAGCAAGAAATTATAAATGAACACAAAAAGATTCAAAATTCTCAACTTCCTTGGGTTTCATTAAAATTGAAATCAATAGAATTAAATAAGTAATTCATATTCAATCTGCACTATGGCAAAAGTAAATCAACAATTCTTTTCTATTATGTAAACATCACTGACGTAAATAAGAAAATTTATAAACATCCTGACATAATTTTTTAACATAAATAAATAAATTTAAACCTTAAAAAAAAGAAAGAAAAATCAGCTTCAGTTAAAACTGGAAAAAAAATTAAGCAGAAATATAAAGTCTATATATCACCAGGAATAAACGTTTTAAATGCTTTTAAAGCTATAAAAATATGTACAGATAAGGGTTTGTGTGTGAACAGTCCAATATTAATTTTCTGAGGAAGACTTTTTTAAAGAATGAATGAAACTCTGTGATGAAATGGAAATAAAGCTGCATCTTAAAACTTTGTTAAACTCTAGACTTGATTTATAATTTAATCCTTTCTTTTTTCCATCATGCTTTTACATATTAAAAATAAGCCACAGACAATACCATCCCTGATCATCAATCAAACCAATATCAACAATAAATACTTTTCCCAGAGCATTGCTAACATCAATATCTTTCCATCTGTCATTTCTTCAGACTTATCACTTTCAAAATTCAAATAATTAAAAGTCAATATCAATAAAGACAGTATAAACAGAGAGGTAGTCTAGCATAATTGTTCTAGATGTAGGACAAATGAAAATTTTTCCGAGTGCAAAAGATGTAATGCAAATGTTAATGGCTACTGCAAAATATAAAATTCAATACAGACTGACGACAAGCAGATTGCCATCAGTAAGTAAAAATGTGGTAACAGAGAGGTAACAGGAAGTATAAGTGTGGTAACAGGAAGTATAAGAGTGGTAACAGGAAGTATAAATCAGGTAAAATGAACTATAAATATGGTAATAGGAAGTATAAATGTGGTAAGGATTTAAACAAATTTTCTTGTTACCACCTTACCACTTCAAAGTACAACCGAAGGATGCCAAGAACAAAATTTCCAATGAATATATTAAATTAAACATAATTATTTTTAAAAAATTCCAAATAATGCCACATAATATATATAAGATTATTTCAGGGAACACAAAGAAGAATATTTCTATGATCCAATCAGATTGCATACTGTGGTTTCATCAATTTTTGTTAAACACCAATTGTCATTACATGTACTTTCATAGTTGAAATAAGGTGATCAACTAACAATACAAATTCTAATACTGTGGAATCATATTAATTTGAGCAGGTCAATGTTCGTGGGCAAGCAAAATTTTACTTGTTCATGGGGACGTAATTTCGTTAATTAATCGTTTGTATGGAAGATTCAATGAATCAATATGTTTAGAAAATAAATGTTTGTGGGGATGTAAATTTGTGGGTAAGGGTGACCCACGAAGTCCACAAACATCAGTCCCCAATGAACAATATTTAATGATTCCACAGTAAACACTTATAGAATATGGGACATAGTGGCTGTTTCAAGGAAGTTATGTTTTTTGCTAAAACAACAAAATTTGATCCCCAGGAAAATTGTTGAAACCACAGTATTATTCAGAGCAGAGACACTTCTTGTATTGAAGTTTAATCAGTTCTGACATCAAGCACAGGTAGGTGTTTCATACCCCTTTCATCCTCCTTCAAATCAGAAAAGTAGAGCAATTTATGATAATATGCTCAGCTATGTAATGTAAGAAACAATTCTCAGTAAGTTCAGTAAAATTTTTAATATTAAATGCTATATAACTGTAAGTGAACTCTGCAGTTTAAAATCGGTAAAGCTCAATGTACATGTAAAAATAAATCATCTCTCAATAATTATTGCACAATTTGACTGCAGTTCATTTAAATTTGTAAAGTTCATTTCCAATGACAACAAAATGGTGCTTAAATTTGTCCAGCAAATGAAAACACCACATAACACCTTAGAAATGACAATTCATTCTGTATAACAGGGTAATTTTGATTTTGAAAAATTAAAAAAAAACAACCAAACATCTGTACAGTGTACAGCAAATAAATGTTGTTCAATGAAATATATCTACCTGCATAGATATACTGGATTGCATAGTTTTAATTGTGAATAACAATCTAGTGACTATGGAACATTTTTCAGTTTGAATTCTAGCATGCCTACAGACTTGCTAAAAATTACATATGCACAAATCATACGCAACATAAAAGGAGGTTTCTACAAAACTTCTTGTAATTAGCTTTAAAACAGTGCTCAAATAAGGAGCCTTTAGATATCCATTATACATGTGTAATTGAATCGAATTAATCCAGACACTACTAACAATACTATACATTTCAAATACTAATTTAAGGAAATGTGGTTCCATTAGCACCCAATAGTCTGTCAAAAGAGTTCCGATGGCTTTCTAAGCGGTCCATTGAATTGCGAGGAGAATTTCTCTCTGAGTTGAGACTGCTTGAGGGTGGAAGAGGAGGGAGCGTTTTCTGTATAGGAGATTTTTCACCAGTCAAAAACTTCTCCACTTTATCTACACAGGCATCTTGGTAATCATGCACCCACCTAAAAAAAAAATAGGAAGATTTGATGTTAATTCATGTATGCCCAATACCTGGTTATAATAAAGATACAAATTTACGTGTCAATATACGAATCAATAATTTTCTTCTTTTATGACATTAATGTTATAAAGATTTAATTGTTCCTTCATTTTTGTTATTTCTGTCAGAATCGGCATTTACTTTTGAAAAAAAAGAAAAACACTGACATTTCATTAAATCTTAACAATAATTTATTTTCTTAAAAAAAAACACATGTTTTACTAAGAAAAAAAAACACACAGAAAGTAAAATCCACTCCATTTGTAACAAAAACTTAATAATTACTAATGTTAATCAGAAGTAATGACAATGACATTTACACAGCTAATTAACCCTTCACACTCTATACATTCATAGTTTTGCACCGGTCAACAGTGACATATAAAATACAAACCACATACAAAATTTAATAGCTGTAACCTTTTCATATTTATAAACTTTAATAATGTTACCTGTGTAAGACATTTAACAGCACTATCTGTCAAAACTCAACAGAATAGGACATAAGATGAACTAAAAGTAATTAATTATGTTTGTCATTTTTTTTTATGACTGCATCACTAAACAGTCAAAACTGCAATGAACAATTTTTTTTTCATGATCCATAAAAGCTAAAGAAGATTGTACTTTTCATTTCCGCATTTTTTTTATGACTTTTCAACAAAAAAGGTACTTTTCTGCAAATATTGAATATTTTTACTTTTCATAATGAAATTTTACTACAGTAATTGGCCAATTAATCCCACCTGTTAGTTATATAAAAAGATATTGAACCCTTGCTCACCATGGAGAAATACAAGAGGGGTTTTTGAGCCTGTCTACAGTAAGTAAGCGAGAGCAGGTTGCATTTTTTTCAAATTTATAACACATTTATAGGCCTAAATGTGTTTACATGACTTGAAAAGGATTTTCTTTAATTTTCTGAGATTTCTAATAAGAATATTAAACTAAAATTAAAAAAAAAAGATTTCTATGTATTAGATTCAGAAAAGATCAGCTGTAAAACAAAAATCAAAGAAAAAATGAATAAGACCCAAGAATACATATATGAAAAGATTCAGCATCAAATAAAATCCAGGAATGAAAACAATTGAAAGTCATTAGCACTTATTGAATATTACACCAAAAAATCCTGCAACCATGTATTTCTTGCAGAATTAAATTACATGAGTTTCTCATTTTTAACTATAAGTATGCTCAACAGCATCTTCCAAACATAAAAAATCACAGAACTTTCCAAATTATTTAACATTTTATGCTTTAAATATATAGAAGCAAAAAATATTGTATAGTAGCTTCTCTCAAAATGTATATACAAACAGAAGAAAAAAAACAAGTTTAAACATAATCAAATGAATTTAAAAGATGCTAAATTTTTACACAAGATGCATGTCTTGAGATTTTAAATATACTCTGAGAAATGATATTTTAAAGAAATTTCTGACAAAAGTCATTATATATGTATATCACCATTTTTTAAAAACAATATTGAATACATCTATACACTTTTATTGTACATTTTACACATCTTGTTTCCAGAATGCTTTCACATATATCTGGTTTCATTTTGTTTTACAGTTGACTAGAATTCATTTGATTGAAAAATACATAAATATGATATTAAAAAATATATACAGCTATCTTCCTCACTTCCACCAAGTATATACCAAAGAAAACAGCACTCAACTGATATTTGCAGAATAAAACTTGGATTGTGCATCCCTTAAGGGTGATAAAATTAAAGATTTTGACTTAAATCTGAGGAGGAAGTATAAAAGAATGCCTCCATTTGGATTGTGATATTGTAAGTACAGCATCTTCCCAAGTCAAGGGTTTCCACTCCACATGAAACCTTTACTGAATAGACTGACTTTGTTGGGTTTACTATTGCGTCATCTAGTGAGAGTACACATTTTGAACTCTATTGACCTCTGCTATTGACCAATTAGAGTAAGCGATTTAAATAGAGACAAAAGTCAGTAATAAATTCAGCATAACTTTAACTCCAAAGCAGAAAGACGTTTTTGTTAGAACTAAAACTGGCATGTTTTTCTGTTAATGATTTAGACTCAGGTTAGATCAAACAATTTTTTTGATTGGCTCATGCAAACATTAATGAGGCCAATCAGAGAGCACATTTCTAACCCCATCAAACAATGTCTATTCGGTCAAGGGTTTATGTGGAGCACAGTGGATCGGAAACCCTTGACTTGGGAAGATGAAGTAAAGGGACTGTAAAAGAGGGACCATTTCAAAACTCATTATAATTCAAAAACAATTTTTGGAAAGTTCTAACAAACTTTTTCCCAAGAGAAAACATCTCTTGATTGTCATAAAAATTTCTGATCAAAATACCTATAAATGAGATAAAATGCCAAAAAAAAAACAAATAAAGCTAAATTGTACAGAGCAATTGCATAACATGTTTTTTTGTATTCCTTAATCTGCATTTTACAAAGCAATTGCATAACATGATTTTTGTATTCCTTAATCTGCATTTTATATGATATTGCATCATTCAGTTGCATATCATAAATCAATAAACAGACATCAACAATACATGTGGCACAATATATATAAGCAAATTCACAAGCCAAGTCAAACACATTTACACATTTAGCATTTTAATAAAAATGGCTGTCAAAAGACTAAGAAAGGGAGGGAGCAAGAACTTTTCTTAAATTAAGAGCAAAAAACTTGTCTATATGCTGAAAATAGACTAGCACTTCCAAGAAAACAAGAACCAGCTTGTAATGTTTAAGTGAGAGAACTCCCCCTACACCCCCACCCCCCAAAAAATGACTCAATTACAATGATTAATAATTCAAACAAAAAAGAAATAAAAACACAAAGTAATATTGTAAAGTTTTAAACTGAAAAGCTGATATAAGATAGTTAAAACTAGAAAATAATATTGGTCTATTAAATCACTGTAGAGAGAAAAAAATCTTGGTCAAGATAAATAGTTAAAACTGATCAAAATGTACAACAATTTCAACTGCTAATATTGAAAACCTTAAAAAGCTACAATGATAGCCAATTTGAAATTCTTCTGAAGAAAGTTGGTATCAAAATCAGTTTTAGCATAGAATAGAAAATTCATTTATTTTACTTTTAAGTAAAATCAAATTAAATCAATCCAGAATGTTATGAATCTTTACGATATGAAGAATGAGGTATCATTGGTCTAATTACCCTGAAAATAAAGTTCCATCACAGAAGAGTAAAGAAAACACATGACCTTATAAGGTCAGAGATCATAGGTCAAAAAAAGGAAGAAATCTGATGATTATCTTTGTTCTACACTTTGGACTCGCATACATTTTAACTTTTACTCTAAACATTCACATGCAAACAGCAATCAAATGTTCAAACATTATAACTGTGATGAGACAAACCAGAAAATACACACTGACTCAATTTCAATCAAAACCTTTAAGGCCCAAGATCTCTACACAAAATAAATAGTCATATAATTATAAATTTTCTACAATGGAAGATATTGTTTCCATGAGCGCTGATGATCTTTTACGTGAGTCTTTTCTCTCGCCGCTTTTTTTCCTCATCACGATCTCTTCCTGTGCCAGTACTTCGTCCACCGTAAGAGCAGACGTCATGCTGCCGCACTCCGACGCTGGTCTCTCCACAATGGTGGGAAGCTCCACAGACCTCAAACGAGCAACGGGGACTTTTTTGAGGAATGTTTCAAGCTTAGCCATGCAAGCCTCTTGGTAGTCGTGCACCCATCTACAGCAGTAAATGACAAAGCATGATAGGACCATCTGTAAGGGCTGTGTCCCCCATAATCGGGGGATGTTTATCTGTCAGACTTAATACTCTGCCTTTTTAAATGTTAAATATGTGTCATTATATTACAATTCACCAGATATAAAATAAACTTGTTGTGCATGAATAACTTTGTATTATCATATAAAAGCTACTAGTCTAATTTATGTGATAAAAGGTGAGTAATTAAGCAGACTGCAAATAGAGTGAAAAGTACATTTCAGGATAATTTTGAACATGTAATTTTGAAATTTTTAGCAGCATATAATAAACAGGGGAATTCTAATAATATCTTTGCTGTATAAAAAAACAATCATTTATCACTTATAGCATTAAGACCAAATAGAGAAAGAAAAAAGTAATTTTGTGTTTGTTTAGAAGAGCCATTCATGCAAATTTATATTGCCAATTAAAGTTCAGAAAGTTCTTCATCTCTTTAAAGTAACTGAGTCAGCCAGTTTATTTATAGGAAGAAATTAGAAAATGACACAGCTTTCGGCAACAACATAGATTTTGGGTGTTTTTCGTTTGTCTTACAGATGATCACATTCAGCCTTTATATCATGCTCTGGGAGTAGGTTATAGGGTACATATATGTATATATATAGATGCTGCTGGTAGTCATTAGAGATAAGCATGCATTATCTAAGCTATCTACACCATTAAAAAGGGAACTTTCATTCAAGTGTTTTTACCCTTGGCAAACCTTTCCATAAATATTCATAAATTCAAAATGTTAATCTACACTTCGATTCTGAATATCAACAAAAGCTTTTAAAATATACATTTGCCCTAGTTAGTGCTATAGGACATAAGCAGGTGCTATGTGTATATCCTATAATTCTCTCAATAACTGCATGCATGTACTGCTCGATTTGAAATTAGTGTAGTTCTGGGAATTCTAGCCACCTTTAATCATTAAAGCTAAAAGCAAGGTGTACCATACAAATACTGGACACTCACCTAACTCCGTTGAAGTACACGACCTGCTGCATGTCAGTGGGCAGTACCTCGGGTAGCGGCCAATCAAAATTGTCCAGCACAGGGATAATATTACAGTCGCTTTCCAAAGCTGTCACAATCTCCTAAAATTTGACATCAATTATTACAGAGGGGTCTTAAATAATAATCAATTTAATGAAGATAATCCATCACCATTTTATGAATTACAGCAGATTCTCTTAGTCTGGTGATTGTGTACATGTACATGAGTCACACAGAGGCACAAGGTACAGAAATGAAACAAAGAAACACCTCTTAATATGAAACTTTAGGGAATTTTTTTTAAAAGATTTGAGAATTATACGATGGACAATGATTATTTTATGAATAAAGCCTGATGATGGATTGCTGAGCAAGCAATATGTCTTAATCTTGATTAATGAGTAAACAGTTATCACGACATCTCACCTTTGACTATTTTACACCTGAATGATTTATAGGTCAAGTGAATCATTGCTCACCTTGTGGATCCAATCCTGCTGTTCATCGTCACCGATACATCTATCCAAGGCACTTGGGGTCAAAACTAACAGAAAATGTTTAGCTAAACGAATATTCATCAACAGATTTTCATCAAACTTTCCAGCACGGAGTCTGTCAATATCCAGAAACACAGAAAATCCTCGAAGTTGTAGATGAACCTTCAGCAAGCTACAGAAAAATTGAGTGCAGTGGAGATCAATGAAATGTGATTGTAAATATATTTTAGGGTATAATTAAACACCAAATTAAATACACATAAATTTATCTTTGCATAGTATTTTAAGAATCTTACTAATACAAAGATTCATATATTAGAAATAGGAAAAGTGGTAAAATGCTGACTGAAAGAAAATATTGATTCAAACTTAAGAAAAAAAAGTGAACTCTTCCACACATAATTAAAAAATTCTTTCATTAAAATTTACCAGTTATCTAGAATTGCCCTTTACCTGGCTAGTTGAGATCCATTTGACCTCCTGTAGCTGATGAACACATCGACTGCCTTAGGGTAGGATGCGAATCCTGTAGGATCTATACTCTTCTGCCTGGTTAGGCTGCCTATACTGCCATACTTGGGTAATGGTAAAGCTGTGTATAAATCTGAAGTTGAAAGGTTAAAGTAATTAATAAAACATGACCAAAGATTCATTTAATGTTTCATACACTCACTTCATTTTTCATCATAATGCATTTTCAAATTACATTCAAATTTTGATGTAAGTCGAAGTGCATTTTCTGTTTGATCTGCTATAAATAAATGCCTATATTGCTCTACTCCCTATTAATCTTCTTCAGATTCTTCATCTTTGTTACAAAAACTTCATCTAAAAAATTGCATTTTTATCACAGATCAGGTTCGGGGGCCAAAAAAACTAAGACAAGCTCACTTTTGATCTCAGTCTCTCTTTTCTGCTATATATTCCTTTGTAAAGTGAGACTGAGATCAAAAAGACACCTTGTGTAAGTTTTATGGCCCCAGAGCCAGGATTCAACAGAAATCTCCTGAGTTTTACCTTCCACATGTTCCAGAATGAGACGACGGTGAATACCATTTTTGATTCCACACACTCCCTCCAATTCTTCGTTGTTTGTGGAGGCCAATACCTCTTTGTTCATGCCTGCTTTGAGCATTTCATATGTATATTGAGACAGATCAGGGAGAATTTTCATCAGCCAAGCATCCATCTGAGTCGGATCACATGAGGAATAGTCAGCTGTGATTTTTAAAGACTTTAACTCTCGTAAAAATCTGTCAGAAAAGAGAGGAAAAGTTTTCAAATAAAAACATACCTCTACCTTCTTAAATCATTGCATTTCCTTGTAAGACCTTTTTCTGTGAATTGTGATTTACATCCTTAAATATACAAATGTACATGTATATGTAATTCCTGCCATATTCAAGATGAAAGGACAGGCATATGTTCTGTATATATGAAGCTTTTACCTTTTCCTGGAGATTTTGCAGTCAATTTTAATACTGCTCTCTAACTCCTGCTCAGTCAATAAAAGCAGCAAATCTCCATCTACCTGGCAGTCCTTAAAGTTCTGAACATATTCCTTAAACCCAACCTACAAAATGAAAACAACAGGTCAGACTCAATCTCATTTCTTTACATTGTCAGGAACCCCAAGGTTGACTATGTTGTGTTCCCTTGAGAGCGGATGAAGTGCAATCAACAGTGGGTGTCCCAATATCCTCTTATTGAAGTTCAAAATAGCAATTAAAAAAAACATGAAATGCAACTTAAAAACTGACAAAAATCAATAATATTTGGCAAAGACCAAATTCATCTGTAAAGTAGTTCTAACACTGACCTGTGCCACCCAGTGCATTACATCCACCACATTCCAAACAGGGACTTGCGTGGTTAACTTGTGGGGAATGCTCTCCCCTATAACCTTTAAAGCCTGGGCGGCTAGTTTGGATGCTGTGGCATTGGGACTACTGGCAACTTTCTTAAGAGGTTCTATTGCACCAATTTCGTAAAAGAGCTGAAACAAGAAAAACGTATATTTATAGGCTGTCTGTGGCAGATGTGTCATTTCCTTTTGTCAGAGACTATAAAATGTCATGCAAAAGGGAGCTACAATTAACTTACATCAAGTTTTCCTTGTTCCTCTTTGATCCCTGCTTCCATTGCAAAATGGAAAGCAGCAAGACTTTGAGCTTCTTCTTTCCTGCTTAGCAGAAGGGGAACCAGTCTCTCTAACCACATGTGGTCTTTCCCCTGTTGTTGAGAGGCATCACTTTTAGCAAAGGAAGAGGGCTTTGTCGAGTTTATGAAGGGCATCACTAATTCTAAGGTGCCTGACTTTATCACTGCAGCCTCTAGTTCTTTATTTGCCAGTAAGACAACAATGGCAAGACATGCATAGTACCTAATGGTGTCATCTTCCATGAAAGCCAAAGGAAATAACCATTCTGGGACATTTCTCTTGGCCATTTCCTCCTGGTTTTCAGCTCCTCCAAACAATGACAGATTGGCTAAAGCTTTCGCACAGTGCCTGAGATTTCTAATGTCACTTGACCTTGACCAATGTAAAATGACATCCAAACCTCCAAAGTTAATTATTTTTGTTGATGCCTCCTCTGAAATTTTGAACAAACCCTCTAAAATACCAGTGATGATGTAGGACATCTCATGATTGGCAATTTCTCTTTTGGTCATTGTTATAACTATTTCAAGCCCTGTTTTTGCAACATGATTTCGATTTTCCCAGGAAAGACACTGTTCTAACACAGAGGCTGATGCCTTCAAAAGGTCCTTGTTATTTGAGTTGCAGTTTTCTATCAGCATGTCCAATATACCCTCACTCCTCAAAGCATCACACAGACGGTAGGCAATGTCCCTTCCAAACATGGGAACCTGCCAAGCCTCCACTAAAACATTCTTTATCCTGTCTAGATGCCTAACTTCATGTCTATGTTTAGCAGCCTTCAAAGGTTTGATGTGATTTTCTAGTTCTTGCGACAATTTTTGGTAACTGACTTTCACGTTTGTCTGGTTTAGACGACTTGTGTCTGAGTCTGTCACTGTTGAAAGGATCAAAGGGTACTTGTCACAGTACTGCACACAGCAAATTTCTGGTTCAATTCTATCCTCACTAGACACAAGACTTTCCAGATCATCAGATGAAAACCTGCTTTCTGATGCTGACAGTAAAGATTCTTTGGAATTGTTGTCACAGATTGTTGAATTTTCATCCTGAGAGATGGTTTCCAACATATCAATGGAGTTCCTTTTTTCTATCTTGGAATATCTTCCCGATTCATTTTCTTCAGACTCAAGGCTGGAGAGATCGAAGAACACTTTGGAGCTCTCAGAGACTTTGGATGACTGTTCCTTTCTCTCAGTTCTCTGGCTTGTGAACTTCCTGCTGCCTGACACAGAACTTGTCGAGTGGAATTTGACAAAGCTGGCATCAGACTGAGATCTGTCAATCAACTTATCGGGGTCAAAGTTCTTGGAAACAAATTCTTTGACAATTTTGGATTTTGTTTTCGGTCCATCATCTGAATCGTCAGACATTTCTTGTAACTGTGCCCTGGAAAAAAAATGCAGACTTATATTGAATATTTTTTTCAAACGTTCCAAAAAATTTTATCAAACACTTTTGGAAGTTATGAAACTTCATTTACAAATCTTTTAATTCAGCATTTGTGATTTTGCTGGATTATAATTAACTATAAACATATAATAAAAGTACAACAAAAAAAAAAAAACATTGAAGTTGCACATATAAACAAAATCATTGAAATCTTTTTCAACCAAAACAAACAAACAATTAATTTAGAATTAGACACCTGGAATTTTCAAACAAACCAGAATCTGTAATATCAAACTGACAGGTACTTCCTTCCTGGAAGTTAAGGTGCAGATAGGGTTGCATGTGTATACACCTTTGATCAACAAGCAATCTTCACATCAACTCAAAGCCCAAGGCTAAAATAGCACAACCTACTCTTAAATCAAGACACATTCTAATTGCCTAAACAGATTAACTTTCATGTCTTAATTTTTTTTATAAAAGTGATCTGTATACATAGCTTAGATAATATTCACTGTAACATCTTTTACAAAAAAGTATATCTATGTAAGTTATCAATCACTTATTACTCATTTCTATACCAGACAAACCAATACATTCATGAATCTCTCTGCAGTAAGTGCCATGTACCCACTGACATGCATGCAAGCACCTGCTGGACATATTGAATCATTCTTAAAATTATTGGTAAGAGCCATGGTTAATCTTTCAACTTTCTCTGGTACATGTGATTACATAACTTAGAAATCTGAGCAATCCCCTTGAAAACTGCTAAACCTAGCTAGCTCATGAATCAGTATATAGTCTTCAGTATGCACACATGATTCACCAATATATACAGTACTGTACTCTGTGAATGATGATGTACTTACAGAGGGTGGCAAGATTTAATCCTTTCTAACAGTTTTGTAAACTTCATTACACAAAACGTGCTGCTGACCTGTTTCTTACTACTACCAAGATGAGCAGTGATTAATCATTGTTAGGTGACAAAAGTACAATATATATATGTATATCAGCTGGCGTATATATATATTATATTTGAAAGGAAAAATACAGGTGAATTCAATTTTTCAATGTCAATGAATAAAGTGATTGATCATAAACAATACGCATTTTATAATTGTAGATCATGCTTCCAATCAGAAGTATCTTAGTCGAGTAAATAAAGTGTACATTTCCTATTATAAATTCAATATTCACGTCACTGATTTTTCTCCTGTTCAAGGCATGAAAACAGGCGTAAATCAAGAGCTGTCAAATTCAAGTCGAAGAGAAAGCTGTATCTCAAATTCATCTATTTAAATACAATGTAATCTTGGCAGATATGGCATGTTCTAAAAGATTTAATATTAGACACATGAAGGTAACATAAATTCAAAATAATATAATGGATATTCAATTTAATATAGTGTTTAAGTTACCAAACTGTCTTCAGAAAGTGCAGGTATAAAATACTCAAAAAAAAAATCTAATAATTTGTTGCACTGGATAAATTACCAAACTAAAACTACAATAACTTACCCCTTGGGTGTCTTAATTTGCATTGCTAGTGTACTATAATTCTCCTATTGACAAGGTAGTAGGATATCTTATTTATATATACCCCTCACTCCCCCACATGAAACACTAATACACCTTGTGATATCATGAATGAACAGTATAAAATAAAATGCTTTTTCACTGTTCACAAGATTTTCTAATGGTGTTTCCCCTGTACACCTAAAATGTAATCCGATCTTGTTAACAATGTGTACAGGCAGAGGAAGGTCTTGTACTGTCATACCTAGGCCAACAGGTATGAGGAAATAGGTTTACAGCCATTCAGATATAACGCAATGCTGACGCACAGAAATATACGTCCACCTAATGTTTTCATTCACAAGACATATTTCATTCACTTGAAGCAAAATTACCTATGTCAAGTATTGAATACCTTGAATTTCCCCCATCAATTCATGAGGGAAGTCATGCTAAAAAAGTTGAGGACAACCTTCAAGAAATTCATCATAACATAATCTGATTTATGTAATTTAGATGATTTTGTTCTTCTTTTAAAACTTAATTGGCAGAAAAAGTAATATCTTTATAATGCAAGTACTTAATTATATCAAAACTAAAATGCACATGACACATTTTGCATGATATCAGATCATTTGTCACAGATGAGGTTTTTTTTGTTTTTGTTTTTTAAATGATCCCTATTAGTTAAGTGTTATATAAGGCATTGCTTCTTTTCAAGTTTTAATTTTATAACCTTTATTGGACTTACATCTAAATGACCATAATCCTTGTTGAAATTAATAAATTTTGTTTTTCTTTTTTAAATGCTAACCTACATGTACTAATAGGATTTCTTTTTGTTTTTATATTTATTATTTGTTCACATACGATAAGTTTCTTCAATATATACAATAGAAACACCTGCAAACTTCTGTAATTAAGGTATAATTTATTTTGTCAACATCTATTTTTTCTAACACAGCAGGTGTAGTAGTTAATACATAATCACTCTTAATGTAAGCATGCACTGAATCTATGCCAAAGATTACTAAGAAAAAAAAACTATCTGGGTTGACAATTAGTTTCTGACACTCCAGTTGTCTACCGGACTAAGTAGCGGTACTTGACAGCACCCAAAATTTTCAGAAATATTTTTCCTTCATCATGAAGATTGCATGTTCTCAATTTTAACACTTTACCGTTGATATTAACTCTTCAAATCTTAATTTAGTTTACACAGTCTAAGAATAGCATTTTATTTGCTTAATGATGATTATTTTAGTTTACAATATGTACTATTTGTCCTCCACTTGAGCCATGCCTGATGCAATAAACCGTATTCTTTCATTACTTTCTTATGCATTCAAATTACACAGATTAAAATTAATAATGAGACGTTATCATATAAAGGGTGAAGTTACTGGAGAGAAAAGCTTTTTCCTAAAAGTGTCCGACAAGTGGTACATGTATAACTGAAAAAAAAAAATTCTTACATTTGGCCATTGCTGATGCCCTAAAAATCATTTTTCATTTAAAAATTGCAGATTTAATAAATCAAATGGGCTTTTTGTAAATATTTAGTTTGATTTTGATGATTTATTTTATTTTTTTTCCCACTTTTAACAGGTCCAGCACAATTTCTTGATTTGGTATAATTAGCTTGAATTAACTAAACAGGTATTTCTAAACAGTTTTTTAACAAAATTTTTTTTTTGTAAGAAAAAGACAAAAAGTTACAAGTATTTGACTGTTCATATAATTATGTACTTTGGACTATCAAAAGAGCAACTCCGATAAAAGATACTAGTAGTTTTATCAATGCAGGTTTTGAATATTTTTAGGCAAAAGTTGTATTTCCACTGTATGGATAACTGTACATCACCTTGTGTGCGTTGATGCATGGATAAGTATGATGCTTCACATTGTGCTAAATTATTACTAATTAATTATCTTGTTGACCACAGTTGACCTCCTTTATAATTTCATTCCAGAAGTATAACTGTGTGGTCACAAATGAATTGCTTTATATAGCCCAAAAGAGTATAAAGTCTCTCAAGGAGATGCAATTTGAAGAGCGAATATTACATGCATTGTTTTCCAAATTCAAAGTTGAATTTGTTCACTGAGCCAAGATGCGGCTTTTTGTACATTCTGAAAAAAAATAACATTTAAGAAAAAAGTGTGATAACAAATAGCTTAATTAAACTATTCTGAATAGTTAAATAAAACTATATATGGCTAATTCATGATATATGGCTTAATCAAGTGGAGCTGTCACGGTTCCAAATTTTTTCAGGTCGGGTCAGTTCTGTAAATTTTCAGTTCGGTTTCGGGTTTTTTGGTATGGTTATTTACATCTATTTTAAACCTCAATTTCATGAATTTAACTTGAAAAATCTTTATTTGTTACGTTAAATTCACACTGAAAACAAGTCTTAGCCATGTTAACGTCTAGACATCAGTGTTTAGGACTACTATGCCTACTGTTAGCCACAACTTGAACATTCCTGCTCGTTTCGATAATTATCTTATCCTTTCCTGACAAGTGTTTTGTCATGGAATGATGTTGATTTCAGTTCTGATGTTTATTTATCACTGTTACCATCTTCATTTTTTTTTAATTTCGACACCATTTTTTATATTAAACAGATTCTAATATATAAACCAGACCCGAACCGAAATTCAGGAATATGGAACCGAAACTGAACTGAACAAATTGGACCTCGGTTTTCGGTTATTTTGTGTAACCATGACAGCCCTATAATCAAGAGACTGTCCTGGACCTGTTCAAATCAGAGGGAAAAAAGCATCTTAGAACTGATTGCCTTACATGCAGTCATTTTTGCATAATAATTTATCATTCCTCAATAAATGTCATCAAAATATCTCTTTATAAGTCCATATTTCAATGCAAAAAGTAACTCACCATGGAGGGAGGTAAATATTAAAGTCCAAAGTTACATGTCTGTGGTTTAACATGACCACCATAATTACATAGCTGACCTGTTTGTTCTTAAAAACTGAGAAAGTTAATTCTAAAAGGAATATGATTTATTCTTTTCTGTCAAGCCTGACATGTTCAATGTGACTAAATTAATTAATTTTAACATTTCCCATGACAACACTAAGGAAAATGAAATGTTATATTAATTAAGCAATAAAAAATTTTGTACCAAGTACTTTACCTTTTCCCCATTCTTAAAACTTCCGTTGTAAAATGACAATCGTACAGATGTTTTTCAGTTAAAATATCAAATCCATTTCAATGTCTCGCTCTTGAACTGAATATATGAATTAATACAGAGAATAATAAAGGGGAAAACAAATCATGCTTACTCTTTGATTAATAACTTCCTATGTGATGATAATGCCGTAGGGCATGGCACCTTTACTCTGTTACAAAAATGCAAACGTGCTTTTATCTTAGATGAGTCATCCCATAACCATGTGCAATATTCACATCATAAGATGAAGATACTGAAGATAAGAAGACCAATATTTTCAGAATGAACTCAATTCCTAATTTAGTTTACAGTTTTATACCAATGTGTTTATCACATTACATTCAAATAAAACTGAAAACGTTGGAATGACCTCTTATACCAAATGTAAACATTCATGGCAATCATGCTTTTACTTATCTTACAAGCATTCTGAAATAATTCTACCTATGTCTTAGAAATAACATTATTCAACTATAATTCAAGTTACCTCAAATCTTTTTTTAAAATTCTGCAGCTTTGTAAATAATAAAATAAAATAAATAAATATAAAAACGTAAAATATTGTGATTAACTTTCTTATCTCTCTTTGCTTTAGATTTTTTTATATTCCGAGCCCGATCACTGATTTTTGCAAGAATGCTAAGGGGGGCTAAATGAGTTGTGTTTGCTAAATTGAAGATCTTTGTTTTATTTTTATCACAAAAACATTTCAAGTTTGAATTATGTTAATGTAGTCAACTGTCACTGTTATTTTGAATCCTTTGTGCTCAATACCTCAAAATTTCATCGTGTTCGAAATGCGGATAATACTTACATGTAAACAAATTAACTACTTTCTAAATTTCTCGTCTAAAAAGATTCCCACCTCCTTGATTTTTACCGCTATTGAATTGCCTAAACGTGCTATACATACAACACTTTCATAGGTTTCTCAAAAGATTTTTTAATAAGACTTTGCTACTTGAAAAGTGATTAACACGAGTCCAGAATAATAAGGTATGCTATAGCAAGTTTCAAGCACAGCTGGTGTCAGCTGTTCCATATAAGTATTGAACACTACAAGTTGTTAGAGGTAGGCAGTGTTAGCTATCAAATAGCTTTACTCAAGCATCCTACATTTGTATGTGAAAAGTTGGAGCCTGCTGAGCTTGTCCTTAGATGTATTATGTATGTTTTTGGGGTACTACTAAACAGAGTATGATAGAGTACTTTAGAGTACGCTAGAAAAAATGTGTAGTTTAATGCAATTAAATTGTTTATTTATGTAAATATAACTCGATTAAACATTATTATAAACTAATATTGCAATATTTATTTCAAAATATTTGTTTTTAGCGCTATTTTGACAAGAAAATAACATTCATGATTCAATGCATTAAACTGTTAAAGATTATTAACACTCTGATCTCGATTAATATTTTGTTTCAGACTTACTAACTTCAACTAAATTTGATCAAAAATTAAATTTATTGCCCTATATAAATATTTTTTACATTAACAATGAAACATTTCAACATGTTCAAGTTAAATTAGATCGGGATCAAACGATAAACCGTCACCTGAAATCAGAATTTGAAATAACTCCTAAAATAAGGAAAACATACAAATCTAATTTAAAATATATATTCATTATGTTTAACTAAAGTAGAAAAACATACAAAAAGTAGTTAAATTGCATTAAATTATTAAATTTTACTAGCGTACTCTAAAGTACTCTTTCGTACTAGCGTACTCTGTTTAGCAGGACCGATGTTTTTGTGCCAGTAAATCTCTGAATATCAATTTTACAATGTACATGTGCTGATGTATAAGATTAAAAAAGTTTTTTTTATGAAATGGATGAGGGGAATACCCTCTCCTGTTCACCCTCATTCAAAAAGTTAGCAAAGTAAAAATAAAACAGACACGTACATTTAAAATTTTGAAAAATTAACTTTAAATTATTAAATACTTGTAGCAGTTGAATGAAGTATATGTTAAAAAAAGGTTTGACCACCAGTGGCCAGATACCTCAGATAGAAGAGCTCCTGACTAGTGATTTAATACGGGACCTGGGTTAAAAATCCTAGTCTGATGTGTCACATTTTTGTCTTTGCAGGTTACAGTTTACAAAGTCTGCCTCTACTACTTAGTCCTGTACCAAGATAGTGAGTCTGTCTTAGCCTAGAAAACATTCAGCATGAGAAATTTCAAGTCATTTTTATTAAAGCTTTAAAGATATTAGCTGTGCAAATATTTATACTTTTTTGAAGAATTGCAACAATGACTTTGACCTTTACTTTTTTTGTGGGGGAGTGGGGTGGGGTGGAGGGTGTTGAGAGGGCACTTAATTTACTTAAGAAATAAGGCAAACAAACGAGAGGAAATAATAACAAAAAATATAAGTATGGAAATCACCAAAGCAGAAACATTGAAGTCAGGTATACAGATCTAACTTACCTTCTTCAAATTTTTAATAATCAGTTTTCACCCTCATCTATATAAACTTTTTTAATATCAATTTTTATTTATCCTAATGAAATAGTGGAAATGATACTGCACCAGTACACAGTATAGATTTGCCTCTAAGGGAATTAAGGAAGAAGTCTAATATCACATGTATGTCATGTTTTTTGTATAACTAAGATTCTTAAATTCACATAACATCAAATAGACAATGTCTTGTGAAACATAAAAATGAAATGAAAAAAAAAGGTACATGTATATGTTGTCAACCTAAAGTTTTGTCAAGGTCATTTTAAGGTCAAAGAAAAGAACTCATGTATCATTTATAGCAGCTAGGTGTTTATCTAATGGAAGTACTAAAGGAATGATTTAAAGCTATAGTATTGCATAGTAAAACTTGGTTTAATTAAAGCAAAGTCCTGGGGACCTGTGAATTTATTTCACTATATCCGTAATTTGATTGTATTATCATATAACAAATTCACTAAGTATATAGTGATTTGCAATATACATGTTATCCTTGAATATGTTCAGGGAAGTATTTTTAACACAAAATTTACCTTGGAGAACTGAAGTTTTCTGATGAATTAAATTGCAAATATAAATATTTAAGAAAAAAAGTGTCAGTTCAATATTTTAAATTTTGAGATCTTTGGCTTGTGTTGGCTATAAAAGCTGTTAAATTCATTATTTTTTAATCTCTACAGGACACAAAATCAATATGCTTTATCTGTAAATTCATTATATCAGTTCCTTATAACTATACAATTTTGTAAGGAATTGTTAAGAATTTTGCTGGGGAAAAAAACTTTGCTATATCCATAAATTCACTATTAATCCAAGTTTGTACAAAACAAATTTTACTGTATAAATGAAAAAAATTTAGGGTATTTAAAGTGAGACATTACTATTATGATAATTTCTGTACAATATTATTACAGGGCAAGATATGCTTTGGTAGAGAGATGGTGCTAGGATGGTTATTAGAGTGTACAATCTCCATGACAACCAGTCAATCAGCCTTCACCTTCCTTTACTGATTGGCGACATAGACTATACCACATCAGATGGCACCATCATTGTTATCAACACCTCAATCCAGCCCTGCCAGCCAATTAAATGGCCAGTCGTGGAGGGAGCATTTAAAGTACTGGTCAAGTTAAAAGTTGGAGAAAATGTCATTCGTCTCATTCATGAGTCTCAGGTTCTGGTTTTGACCCTCACTCGGTACATTCCGGAGATCCCTCTTTTTGTCAGACCTGTGTATATCATTTGTAGTGATGATGATGGGAACTTTCAAGGCCCCGAGGATGAGGATTGTTCTGTTCTCAGTGCGGTAGACAGGGTGACACTAGCTGCTATGCTAGTCCAAACTTTTACGGCAGAAAAATTAAACGAACATGGCTTTGGTTATAAAACTTTTCAACTTGAAATGGATCAAGATTATGAACCATTCTGTCATATCTTTAGAAGTCAGTTGACTCTAGAAAGAGCTCAGTCAATGACAGGGAATGAACTCTGGACACATTTTGCTAAAGAATTAATGATGTCTAATTTTACTCAGAAAGATTGTTGTAAATGGTTTTGTTTTATGTCTTTTACTCGATATTCTCTACCAGAAAACACTGAACCTCCCAGATCTCATGGAGATATCCTGAAGCAGACAAAGGGCCATGCTGCTCTTGGTAATATATTCTTTTTAATATTTTTGAGAAACTTTAATCAATGAAGTTTTCAGTTTATGCTAATGACCAGGGAGAGCATTAACAGGTGGAAATATTATTTTATCAGGATGATATTTGCATTAACAGGTGGAGGAGGGCTGGCTTTGTTTGGTACCGCTAACCTACACACCTGGGCCAGGAGTATTGAAGAAATACATCAAAGATTTACAGATGTTCGTAAAATTGACAGGAAAAAATATATGGATGACAGTGCATATAGGTAATAGGTTACTTCTGTTTTAGCTGAATTATTAAAACTGTTACTTTTCAGATCAAAGCTGCATTTTCCTCTTTAAGGTTCACTGACCTTCTGATAAGAGAGATAACTCTCACTGGAATTAATGATTATTATTCCTTTTAAACAATGTCAAGATAAAAGGTGATTTCTGTCAAATTCTGCACCCTGAAGTACATGTATGCCAAAACTGTTTACATTTCAATTATAATTTAGATTTTTTTTTATTTTCAGGTTGTTTTTTTTTTTATTTTTAGATTTTATATAAAGGAACAAAGGGGTGATGAACTTTAAGCAAGGTAGAAAGCCTACACTATGCTAACATTGTTTTCAATAAACTTTTTCTACAGGGAGTATCACTGGGCCAACTATGCAACAGGCGTGGGGGCAGCTTTACATGAGTTGGGACACACTTTTGATCTTGCTCATACTCCATCTGGGGTCATGGCTCGAGGCTTTGATGACATTAATAGGGTGTTTATTGTCCAGAGGTACAAGTCTAAACAACAGTCAACTCAGGAGAGGAGCATTAGTGAGGACAGAAGCAGTGTCTGCAGCATAGAGTCAGGCAAAGACACAACATCAAAAGCAGCATATACAACAAATTCTACAAGTTATCAAAATCCAGTTAAAAAAGTAAACATCTCTCTGTACAAGAAATCTGAAATATAAACATGGCTCCTTTTTTATGCCCTGGGGCCTCCTGAAAAAAGGGCATATTGTTTTGCACATGTTGGTTGGTCAACTGGTATATGGGTCGGAAGACCAATGTTGTCCCCTCAATATCTTTAGAACCCTTTGTTTGACAGACATCAAACTTAGTACACAGGTTTCCCCTAAAGAGAAGATTACCCCTATTGGTTTAGAGGTCACAAGTTCAAGGGTTAAACTACTCAAGGAAGTTATTTTTTGTTCATTATCTTGAGAACCCTTTGCTTGATTGACGTCAAACTTTTTGGTTTCGCCTGGGGAGTAGATAAGCCCTATTCATTTTAAGGTCATAAGGTCAAAGGTCAAAAATGAACATAAAAAGATATTGACTGCTCAATATCTTGAGAATTGTTTGCTTGACAGACTTAAAACTTAGTTCATTGGTTCCCCCTAAGGAGTAGATGGCCACTGTAGATTTTAAGGTAACAAGATCAAAGAATAAGGTCAGATTGGAACATGGGAAGATACTGACTGCTCAGTATCTTGAGAACCCTTTGCCTGACAGACATCAAACTTTGCACAGTGTTCTCTATAAGAAATAAATTGCCCCAAATGATATCAAGGTCTGGTATCAAACTTTGCATTACATAAATTTGCCCCTGACTAGTAGGTTACCCACTTTTTTGCAATCAAATTTAAAGTTAACCCATTTCAATTTTACCATGTTGGGGGCAAGTATGTTTCTAAATGAATATGTTATTATTAGAGTCTTGATATTTTGACATCATGCAGCAATTATTTATAAAAAATATTTACACCCCCTCCCATTTATTCAGACAAGATTATATGATTATCATAGAAATTTATTAAATTCAGGAATGTTAAAGACTTATTAAAAAAAACACATTGATTAGAGACCAATGTGTTTGTATTATGTAATACATTAGTAGTTCAGTTACATCCTTAGCAATAATGACTGGCTATAGTTATGAAAATGTTTAGTAAATTTTCTTCATCACAGTGCTATGCATGATTTATTTTTTTTTTGCTGTTTCAGTACAATAAAACAGGAACTAAATGCTACATTGCCCCACCACCATTAGTTGTTAATGTAGAGTCAAATTTCAAGCCCTTAGTTCCTACAAGTTTGACATTCAGTTCTCGGAATTATGATGGGACAGAACGGCACCAGATGATATCGGACCAGATAGGATGCGAAATCGTCACTGACCTGTTACTAGGAGTGGATGGTCGAGTGCTGGCTAAAACTCAGTGTAGAAGGGGTAATACACTTTACATAAATTCAAATAATTTTTTTTAAATTCTATTTATTAAGTTTAGTTTGGCATGTTTGCTGCTTACAAAAATCTAAATGATCACTGATTAAGCTTAATTATGGTGACTACTAAAGAGCCCACATTTTATTTTGTTGTGTTTTTATTTACAGTTGTTTTTGACTATTTTGATACTGTTTATTTATCAGAGAAGAGCAGTTCCTGTTCCTCTACAAGCTCCGCCTCCTCCCCACCCTCACCCCTCTCTACCACACCTATGACCCTGCCCAATTCTCCCGAGGAACCACCCACTCAACAGCTGTCATTTACAGATGGTGGCGCCCACTGGTATCGCTCCTCTGCGGTGCTGCTCTACTTCCACAGGTACTGGCTTCATTAGTCATAGCTGTAACTGTACTTATTTTAGCAGGATTCATACTTGAGTGCCATTGGTGCAATTGTTAGTAAGTAAACTCATGTCTGTTGCCCAACTTTGATTTAATATCAGCTGTCAATGGGCCCTGCTACTCTACATCCTGTCAATTGAAAGCCATGCCAATTATGCAGCTAATTATTCAAAATACTAAAAGCTCTAATTCAAGATTGCTATAAAAAGGCCCATGACCTACATTTTGCAACTAAAATTTTGATTAAATTAAAAATAAGTACATATACAATGTAGTAATTGGTAAGTACTGTATACAGGGTTATTTTTGCCCTGTGTTATTTTCACCCTCTCACATTTGCAAACAATTTTGCCCCATTTTAAATTCACCCAGTCACAGTTTTGTTTAATATTATACTATGTTCTTTAATTCGCCCAGTTTTAAATTGGACCACCTGTGAGTTGGGTGAAAGGAGCAAAAATAAAACAGGGGCGAAATTTTCCCTGTATACAGTAACTGTATTCAGAATTTTCATAAATGATATTTAGGAGATTAATTAGTTTTTTAAACAGTGTTTCTTGCCGTTTTTTTTTTTTTTGTGTGTTGTGATCCTTTAAATTGTAAGTCAGTCATACATCAGATAATCCTAGAACATACATTATATATGTAAATCAATGCCTTAAGTGATTATTTACGTAAAAGGTAACAATGAAGTTATTTTTTTTTTTAAATTCAAGGATAAATGAAATTTGAGGACAAAAGTTTTTGAAGTTTGTTTTGCCCTTTTTTGACAATGCTGAACCAGCAGTTTACGTATTTTGATATGATTTAACTTTGATTCTTACATGTATATGCCTTGCTTTTTATGTAGATGGTTCAACAAAAGTAATCCAACAAATCAGGGGAAACAGCCAGAAATATCAGGGTAAGGATTTCAGGGGAAAAGAAGGGAGAATGGTCCTCTGTTTAAAACATTTTTTTTCCAGTAATCATGACAATTTTTAACACAAGATGGAGGAAAAAAATGAAATTCAGATAAAGAGCAAGATTCACTTAGGGCCTTTTCTTGGCACTGTAATTTCTGAAAAGTCAGAACTGCTCAGTTTTAGTTGACATTGCATTAAATTAATAAATATATACCAGTATTGGACTCTTGGCAACTGCATATGATAGCTATTAAAAATGCTGTAATTTTCTTGCTAGTTAATGTATTTTGACACCATGAATTGTGTCATTTATACCCAAATCTTGAAAATTTCTCCAAAAATGGCCAAAAGTTTAATTTAAATGTCAGGTTTCATTGGATAAGGGTTTGATATTCCTATCAGACAACAAGTGCCATGCTAGATATAGTAGTTAATAGATGTCAAGGAAAATCATTAAGAGCGTGATATAGTTGATCTTACATGTAATATGAATGGTTGCTTTGTTCAGTTTGGTCATGCAACAATAGGAGAGCAAGAGGTTATTCAATAGTAATTTGCTTGTTATTCACACGATATACAATACATCCACTGTATACAGCTTTGATTTCACTCACAGTGATTTTTTGTGTTTTCCAAACAAACTCCATTTTCATGTCACAGTTTTCTGGATTCTATTTATTACTCCTATATATGTTATTTCATCACAGATTTGTTTGTTAAATACATGTAATAAAAATATAAATCTGCAGCCAAAGTATGACTGCATGTATACAGTACATATTAGTTACACAATACAGTAAAACCCTGATATAGTGACCTTACACAGACAGACAGATTTGCTGAATTATATCCATAATTCACTACATCGAAATATCCATAATTCCTGTATCTAGTTAAAACCATTTGAGTGTACTACTTGGTGATACATTTAATTATGACTTTATTAACAAAATTTAACAAAAATTCATTATAAGTGTTTTCACTATATAAACATGTTGCACTGTACGCTTAGACATCAAGAAGCTTGGCTTTTGGTAAATCAGTGTCTAGTTACCAGTGTATACACATAATCCAGTGGCGGATTCAGGGGGGTTTGGGGGGGTTCGGGAAAACCCCCCCGCCCAGTCAAAAATTTTTTTTACAAGTGTCATTTTAACAATATATTGCATAAATGAGACTCTATCCAAGCCCATTGTTTTACACAAAGAGGTGAAATATACAGACCCATGCGAAATCCCTTTCCGCTTGAGCGCACACAATACACAGGTATATAACAACAGTACCATGAATACAGAGATCATGATAGTCCGTGCAGCTACATGTAGTCAGGTAGTGATGACACAACATCATACACTAACAAACCAAAACTGCACATAGTTATTACAGGTATTGTTTTGGTATTGCCAAAGTAATATTCTTCGAAAATTGAATCTTACTTTATTGAACTATGTGAATAAACTGTGATTATTATTATTATTCAGAAAAAAAGCACACTTGTAGATAGAAGTTACAATGCAATTTTAAAAAGCAAATGGTCTGCATTTTTTTTTTAAAATTACAGTTGAATGATGTTTAATAAAACCCAACGAACGGTTACAACTTTGCATAATGAATTGTGGTAAAACTTATATGTATATAATAGAGATCCTGTCAAAACAAGAATTGGCCACTTTTTTATTGTTTTTCAAGACTTTTTTTTCAAAACATTGGGCTGGTAAGTGCATGGATAAGATAAAAATAGAAGTATGGTGCATTTATGTTAGAAATTATAAATCAACCCCCCCCCCCCCCCCCCCCATGAAAAAGCAATAATTCCAACAATTTCCCAAAATAATAAATTTATATTTATTCTTCAATATGATATATCATTATTTGCTTATATTTCAAAATGTATTTACAGTAGAGTCAAGTAGTTGAAAAGAGTAATAAGGGTTTCTACACAGAATCCAAATTTTCTAAGTGTTGGGAAATTGCACATCAGTTGTATTTTGGTAGTCAGAGCTTCACATGTGACACATTGGATGTGCATTTTAAAATGAAGAATTGGATATTATATTTCAAATGGCGATATTTCTAATTTTATCAGATTTTACATTTAATTTTTTTTTTAAGAAAAGTCTCATTTTTCAAGTTTACATGGAAGTTAAAAATAATCCCAAAATTTATTTATTTTTTTTTTTTGGTTCTAATTCTTGAAAATTAGGGTAGGTCAGTCTTGAAAATCACCTAGAAAAAAAGTGGCCAAAAACGAATTAATTCAATCTAAAATGCTGGAAAATGCACCATTTGGAGCCATTTTTTAAGAAAATTTCTCGGGGGAGGCCCCCCGAACCCCCACCTATGGGAGGGGGGCACCCCCTCCCATGCCCTCCCCCTTCGGCCCAACGAGCCTCAAAACCCCCCCACATGAACTTCTGGATCCACCACTGTAATCTGTACTACATGTATTTATAAACTTCTAATTTTAGAAACATGGTGAAATCCAGCAATGGTCTTAGATTGGTGGAGCTGAGATCTTTACCTCAGGGTGAAGTGTTCCATTTCTGGGAGTTTATTCAGGACACACCCCCAACTGTATTTCATCTGAGAACCACACACATCAGGAATCTCCCCCTGGGGGCATCATTTGTTACAGTATTTGTCGAGGATACATATGGCAATATAGCTAAAGGGAAAGTTAGCGTAGAAGATTTCTCTAAGTAGTTCCTAGTTAGCAGTATATGTTTGAATCATAGGAAGTGATTGTTGTGTTATTGTTAAATTTTGGGTATAGATATATGAACATGTATTGTAATTACTAGTTCTACAATTTATTCTCCTTTAATTAACATAAAGTTTGTTTGTTATAGGTGTTTCTGGATATTTTCATACATAAATTCATACAATTCAGTATTTACTTATATTTTTGAAGTCACTGTAAGTTTCCATGTTTTTAAGAATGGAAGGGAGAAAACTTAGAGATTTTCATTTTTCATCTCTTTTGTATTCTTTAACATTCAATAATTCAACAATAAATTTCTTGAAAAATATTTTATATTTGATTCTCAGACTATGATCTCATTCATGTGCCTTTATGATTCTGGTCGTTATAAACAAACATTTAAAAAAAAATGTCAGGAGATTTGGAAGGTGATTTTAAGGGTACAAGTATTTGATAAAAAGTATATACAGCTACATTTGATAAATCATTGCTGATTGGAATTTTTGCTGTTTTTAAGTTTTGATGGTTACCTTAATTGTGTTTCTTTACTAGGAATTATTTTTTGATGACTTCCAAATCCTGGTGATTAAGGCTGTCTATGAGGAGACTACATGTATCAATTTTTTTTATTATATACCCAAGTGTGTATCACTCAATTTTACTGTAGGTTTCGTACGGTGTGATCCGACTTTCCGGATCACCACACTGTGGTTTTCTGAATCCATATCACCCCTCTCTGAAATTGATGACGTAGTACACAGAACATGACGTTATTTTTCATGCGCATCAAAAAGTTCCTTGACAATATGCTTTATTTAATGGAAAAATCTTATATCATTGATCTCAAAAGTTTTTTTTAAAACTATATTTTGCTAGTTGTAAGGGGGATATATAATAAATTTATCATTATAACAGTAACTTGATCCGAAGAGCCGTATCACGTCTCGTTGACAGGCGCGGATCATCAGATCAAACTCGACGCTTCGCGTCTCGTTTGATCTGATGATCCACGCCTGTCAACTCGACGTGATACGACTCTTCGGATCAAGTTACTGTTATAATAATGTATTAATGTATATGTATCTGTTAAGAGCAAAAAATTTAAAAAAAAAAAAAAAAAAAAAAAAGAGAAAATCTGGATAATTTTTTGCCAATTTTTTTTTTAAATATATCAACCACAACAATCAAAATACTAGTTGTTTAGTCTCAATGGAATAATATTTTAGCATGATTCTTTTATTTCAATTAAAGGGATAGAATGCAAAAGGGAGAAAAAAGGATATTTGAAACAGTACTGCAAGAAAATAATTTGAAGGTGTTGACTAGTGAAAAGTACTTATTAACCACTAGTAATGTGTATACAGTATGTTAACATGCATCAGGTAAATTGTAAAAATAATCAGGGTAGCTACAATATACCTCAGTTCATCTGCCATTGGTAATGTTTGCTGGTGCAGTTGTAGTCATTTTACCAAGTGTTTATATTTATAAGAGCTTTAGTGATAGAGTTTATATATGATATAGTTGTAGAGATAATCAGTATGTATAAGGTTGTGTACATATGTGTGCTACTCTGATGTTCTTTTAATGTCATTTTTATGCCTCGGTAATCAAAGATTCGGGGGTATATAGTTTTTGCCCTGTCCGTCCGTCTCTCTAGCTGTCTGTTTGTCCGCAAAAACTTTAACATTGCCCATAACTTTTGATTGGTTGGAGCTATGGCTTTCATATTTCACATGTGTATTCCTTGTGACAAGACCTTTCCTTAGGTACCAACATATTCGACCTCTTGACCTTGACATTTGAACCACTTCTGCAAAAATTTACCAAACTTTAACCTTGGCCATAACTTTTGAACAGTTGGAACTAGGGCTCTCATATTTCACATGTGTATTCATTGTGACAAGACCTTTCCATTGGTGTTAATATTTTTGACCTTTTGATCTTGACCTTAGAGTTTGAACCATTTAAAAAAAAAACTTTAACCTTGGCCATAACTTTTGAACAGTTGGTGCTAGCTAGGGGTCTCATATTTCACAGACGTGTTCCTTGTTACAAGACCTTCCTTGGGATATCAGTAATGTTGACCTTTTGACCTTGGAGTTTGACCTACAAATGTACTTTTAAAGAATGTTAACCTTCGCCATAACTTTTAAACTTTGGTGCTGGGGCATTTATATTTTGCATGTATATTTCTTATGACAAGGTCTTCACCTGCATACCATTAATTTTGACCTCTTGACTTTGGAGTTTGACCCATTTTTAGAAAATATTAACCTTGACCATAACTTTTGAATGGTTGGTGCTTGGGCTTTCATATTTACCAGATACATGTATATCCATTGATACATGTCCTTTCATTGGGTAACATCATTTGTGATCTCTTGACCTTGGAGTTTGAATTGCATTTGAGAAACTTTAACCTTTGCTATAAGCTGCCATATGGGGGCATCAGTGTTCACAAATGCATCTTGTTCCAGTTAAATTTAATGTTATTTTTAATAAAATCTTGTAGAATCTTTTTCCACACTAACATATACATTTACAAGCAGTTTTTCAATAGGCAAAGTTTTAAATGCTACAAGAAAGACCTTGATTATTATTGATATTATTTAGTAGACAACAGAGTTCATAAAGTAGATTTGAACTTTATTTGTGCCATATACAGATGATAATATTTAGCTAAGGGGTTGTCTTCCGAGCTTGAGACTTAATCATTTCTATAATTTGCATGTTAGTGTTGTGCCAAATGAAAACAAAAGAATGGTAACTAGGAGTTCTACCTTTGCAAAACTGAATTTCTTCAAAGTTTGTGTACCAGTACATTATTACATACTTCCCAGATCATGGCAATTAATTAAATCATTTAATGCTTGCTAGGGGGTTTACTGACATCTATGAAAAACAAAAAAAAAGAAACATATTATAGCAGCATTAGAAGATACAAAATTCTAAAGAAAAACAACTCGCAATTGAGTTAGAAAAACAGCAACTGAAATCAGCATCTGACCTCATCTTAAAAATGCCTTTTCTGCCATGCATATCCAAATGGTGCGAATCACCAAATTATAGTTACTTAATTACCTCACTAGCGTAAAATGCCAATAAAACATTTTGGATACAGATCAATGGTGTTCAAACCGCCAACCCAGACACTGGTCCCTTCGACCACTGAATCAATTAGATTTGATCAAATCTTTGTCTAATCTTCATATTTGCTATCTTCTGTAACAAATGCATGATGAATTTGCATATGTACAACACTGTTTTAAATATGTATGTAAAATAATTGCCCTTTGAAAATGGAAATTGTATTTTTATCTGTTGTGTATTAATTTACATGTACATTCTTGTAGAACAAATTTTGTAATATGTATTGTTAATCTGAAATTACATACTAGTTTTTATTTGTGAAATCCAGACAAAACATGCCAGCACAAAAGTGGGACATGGATAATAAAATATACTGATGTTTTCTAATATATTTTGATATTGCTGGCAATCAAAAATATTATCATTGCATGACCATGCATTCATTTAATATCAGGGGATAAATCAAGGTACTGGTTCTCACAAATAAAAGTGGGTGGCATTAAATGCATGCTTATATGAATTGGAATCTTTTTTGAAAACATTATTGAATCAGTCATAGTACGCTATACTCAGTCTCAGGTTTGTAGTAATAATTGTTGCAGGAAAAATGTTCAATGTTAAAGTGTGATTTTTCAAAAAATATTTTTTTTGGGGTATTGAAGATGTGACAAGATTTATAATATGAATTTCAAAACTTATTAATATATCATTAATTATTTAAGAAAAGTATAGGAGGGCTTTTAAAGAGTTTAATTTCACTACAAAAAGAGATGAAAAGGTGGACTTTGAAAATTGAGGTTTTCACATGTAAACAATCAGGTGCTTAATTTGAATTTGTTGTTTTGTTAAAGTGTTCATAGCATTCCAGGGCAATTTGATGCTGGACTGTTTTATATGTTTTGTTTTTAAGATATTTTATGTGATGATATTATGTTTTATTTCATTAGAAGTGGCATTACAAAGTTTTACTTGCAATCTAAGTTCAAGAATCTAATACTGTATTTGTGTTTCATAGAAGAAATGATTACTGTAGATCAACAAATTTTTGCAACATAAATTTTTCACGAGATAGTCATTATTTACTCTTTATTAGTGAGACAAAATTTACACGAATTTTAATTTGCTCTACATAATCTTTAAGAGTACAAATAAACAGAAGAATGAAATTTTTGCAAGCAGACTGTCTCGCATAATTACACAAAAATAAAATTCTAATGAATAAAAGGTAATTTACAGTATATGCAATTAATTATTATAACACTGAGAATGACTTGATCTATAATATACTTTAAATGCTTTAAAGACTCAGAATTATGTGGAAGTTTTTCAATTCAATTTTGATTTTTTTTAACTGGTACATAGATGTCATTTCCTGAGTTGATTCAGTCTGACTGTGATTTTCTTTTCATATCATTTATCATTCCAAAAAAGAAAATGGTTGTTTTTCTTGAATTTATTTTGCTCAGCTTATAATTGTTTTCTAAGATCTGTGATTTTGTTTTGATTGTGATTTTTTTTCATTGATAGAATTCTGGATGAATTTTATTTGCTTATTCTTTACAACTGATTTGCCTTTGCTTAAGTTTACCCATAATGCAATATGATACTCTTGAGGTCATTCAGTTGTTGACATATATATGTTATCAAAGAAAAGGTTTAGACTTAACTTTTCTGAAATAAATTGTACATATGTATGTATTTTAATTCCCAACTAATTTCAAAATTTGATATCTTTTAGGGGTAAATGGCATAATTAATCATTTAATAGATCCTCCATTTTGAAAAGGCCATTGAGTACAATTGTTGAAATCAAAGAGCTTTGTTTAACTTGCTTCCTGCATACCATCTTTAATCCTGTTTATGTAATTGATAAGATATGTAGTGATTAGAATGTTTACATAGAAGTACAATGTCATCATGTCAGTTCCCCTATTTGATTTCATGCAGGTTTTCCTATACA